CATGAGCTGCTTCACTACTAGTATATGAGCATTCCGAGCACTGATACTGTTTCAGATGATAATGCCGCTTAGCGTGATTCATTAATGAAGAAAGTGATCGGTAGTTCGGCATCATTTTTTGACAAAGCTGTAATAAATTTTCAATTAAAAATGAAAAGACGTCAAGTCTTCCGAGTTACGAAGAAAATATGACTGTCCTTTGCAAAGAGATGCAAACCTATGAAAGAATTGCTAAACCATGCAACTTCTCTTACAGAGAATAATAAAAAAAGTCTTATTAAGTCCTCTTCTATAATCTTTCCTTCCTGTGTAAGGAAAGTTGAAATTAAGTCAGACGAAAAATCCATACCTCACACCGAACGTGATTTCCGGTATCAGTACCAGTTTCATTTACTATAGACGTCATATATCCGCTAAAACTCAAAGGTGACAGACTATTTCGTTCCTCTTTTGGTGCCAAGCTTTGAAACTGTGTTAACATTTTGCTTTCTTCCTCATCAGCTGCAACTGAGATTTATCACTAACCATAGTTTAAAATGATTAAGCAAAGCAGCAACCGTTGGATATCATACAGGAAAACTTTGAGTAGGATGTGTCACTCACGTACCTGGTGTGTCTGGGAAATATTTATGAAGGAACATGACAAGACTGCTACCGGGCTCCAATACTTCAACGTTTACATCGGCCGCAATTTCCGAATGTTTCAATGTGATATGAAGACGTACTTTCCACTTCAAAATAAATGTAGTGAGTAAATTATAAATAATGTACCCAAGTATTTAGGAACAAAAAATTTGTACAGCGTTATAGCTTGACAAAGAAAAAAGAAAATTTAATGCGTTTATCACGGAAAGAAAAAAAAAAAGAAAATGAAAGGCACTAATCAAAGATTACAACATTTTGAATCATGTGAAAATATCGGTCTTATTTTTTTTAACACAAGATGAAGTAAAACCTCTACCTGATCGGCATTCTGATAACCACATTCCTCGCAGCAGTATGGTATGCATTCTGTTTTATGTACTTTATCAAGATGTTCAATAAGTGCTTCAGCATTAACACGTTCACCGCATTCAATACAAGCATATGATAAATCATTCAGACCCGTTAACATTAAATCAGCCGAACGATCATTTTCTCCGTTCTTGAATGTTGAAAACTGGAAAGAAAAAAGACAACCGTACTGTCGGAGAAGACTTCATAGTCAAGAAACTGTTATCGTAAATTTAAGACAAGAATTTTCCACATTTCCTAAATGAAGTGAAACATTTCATTTCTTGTAACATGAAGGAACACCTTGGAATAACCCGGAAAACACTGGTCCATCAGTAGATCCCACTGATTTTGCATTTCCGGCGTAAGTGCATCCAACGGTTGACTAACATGATCCTTATGATTATGCTGCATATGTAAGCGTACCTACAATTTATCAATACATTTTTGACTTGCTTTTCTTACAACATCATATATGTTTGCATCTGTAACTTGCTTACTGTTATCGAAAACATCTAGATCCAGCAGATAGAATAATCTGCATTCTCAATTTTTATTTTGAAGTTGAAATATATTTCACATATATATTTTGTACACGAAAAAAAGTTAAAGAAAACTAACTTTGGCCATTTCATTATGAGTGTAAATGCAATAAACACACTGGAACTGTTTAAGCGATGCATGCCGACGGACATGGTTAGTTAAATTTGATAATCGACTGGACATAATTTTGTTCTGACATAACTGACAAACAGCATACAATGACGGGTCATCATTAGCAATCATCCGTGATCCACGTGGTCGAGCAACAAACGGTATAGGTGATGGTATAGCAGTTGAAGTAGCCAAACCATGAATGGAATTAGAGCTGGACGATGCAGGAGAAGGATGAGTGGTATGATCATCGGTAATAAGCAACTGAGAGCTGTTGTCATCCGAAGATATCACTGAATCCTGTACGACCATAGCGTTCGAAAAATGTGTAAGATCAGAAACAGGGGCAGCCGTTGCACTAAGCACAGGGAGAAATGCATTTTCACGAATTTCATTCACAAATGACACTTCCGGGAAACCATTGTTTAACTGGAAAGATTTAGAAGTCAGATCGTTAATTTGAAATAGTAAAAGGAAAGTATTAAGACTAAGGTAGCGAACATCTTTTTCAGCATAACCAGTAATCCATGCAGTGGAAAGCATGAAACGATTTATGACTTCATACATTTAAAGATTAGAATGCAGTCCGTTCCCGCCTACTTCATACTTACTTCCATACTTAATACTTGCACATTTACTGGGTAATAAACGACAGCAATTGCTTCCTTCCCCGCTCCCGATATTCCCAATTCCGAAATACTGTAACAATATACGAGCGAGCTGAACAAGAATTCCAGTCCCAAATTCAAATGAGGAGAACCGCCAGGACCATTTGGGGTTGGTCACATCCCTAACAAAATCGAAATATCTAATTTCGTCTCTGTTCTGTAACTAGCGGCTTCTGGAGTGAGTAAAAACAACGATTTTTACAACAGAAATGGGAAAGATCGGAAAAGAAAAGATATGAAAGATTTCCTAAAGCAAAAAATTCCGCTTACATAAAGGGAAGACTTCAAATAAAGGAGCATAGATTGGAATTAAATAGAAATTAAAACAGAATTTTTAGAAGAATCCTTGGAAAAGGAGATAGAAAATGGGACATGAAGGCATTGGGTCATACCGGAATTCCTCAGAAGTCATGACTCTTCCGGAAGAAATTGAATTCAACAAGGAGTAGAGAGACGAAGATCTCCTTTTCAAAACATCAAATTGTACAAAATCCTGAAGATAGAACAAACCCGAAAAAGAATGGAGCAGCAAAAAACGCAATATTTGTTTCGTTTCTTCTAAAGCATACGAAAAATAAACAACTTTAAGAAACTTTTTGCGGAAAAAATTACGAAAAAATTACCAGTAAACTGAAAAGTTTGATGATATCACCACCTTCGGGGATTCGTACAATAGCAAAATTAGGTAATCCAAGAATATCGTTAGCAGTGGTCAAGGGTTTTTGATGACCAGCGGACGACTGCAGCGCTGCCATCTACAGGTATCCTGCTGTTCTGTGTGAGGATAACAACAGCGCAAGTATGTTATTATTGTACTGCAGTAGCGTGTTAATGCCTGCTTGCCTGCGTGCGTACGTTAGAAAAGAAAGAGCAGGGGGAAGGGATGGGGAATGCGGACAGATGCGGGTTGCTCTCACCTCTATTTGTGGGGGGAGGGGGGGGGTAACATTCTGTCCCCCTATTCTACTCTGTAGTTGTATTCCTGCATGCAGTCCCCATCCTTCCCATTGCGCTGCACTTCTCGATTCCATCAAGCGCAAATCGATGGCCGAAGCAAGTTGCTAGACTGCTACTGCCCCTGCTACATGCATTCATAACTGCAGCAGCAACACCAGCACCACTTGGGCAGCAAAAGGGCGCGTGCAATGCCTGCGCAACCTGCACAATCGTTTCTACGGCCCACCCTGTTCAGATCCTTTGTATGTCTCTGTGCATGCATGCATGTGTATATGTCTGTGCGTGTGTGTGCCTGCCCGTGTTATTGTCGATTACAGCTCATGTCATTTTTTCCCAATGATTACTGCTCACAATCCAAAAGTGGCCATATACTGAGATTAGACATACTCCTATCAATACACACACACAGACATGCCCACAATCAGGCATACTCGCAAACGCATGTACATTAGCCACTTGCTCACGAAGCACGCATGTGTACCAACACATGCCTATGAACACCTACATATGGGCGCGCATCTACACATAACACAGATGCACGTACATCACTTGCATGTAATCATAAACATAGCAAACGTGCATGTGGATATACACAGCTATACTTGTACATGTGTGTAGAGATGAAGGCTGGGTATATGTACGCAAGATGAATGGGACTAGACTAGCGTTTCTATGTATTATTAGAGATTCGGGTAAGATAGTGGATTGTTGGCATGTCTTGGGAAGTTCACGAAACTAACAGCTGTTTGTTGTAATTATCGATGACCTGTGAACCAATAATAGGTGGCAACAAACGAGTAAACATATACATGATTTCTTATGTTGTAGTAGCATGGAATACGCAAGCAACACTCTGGTACTGTCTCTGTTCCAAGATATGGATATATTTATACTTTGTCCCATCTGGGAATTATTTGAATGAACTGTACGGACTGCACAGTAACTTACTTATTTCAGGTAACATATTCATTGCTTCCCAAATTAGAGATCTTTCATTTTTTCAAGGGAGAATTACGTAAAGTATCGATCGATCGATGTGTAAAACTCTCAGTCATTTTCCAATGAACAAAAAGAGTGGATTCATAACAATGTTGTGCATTGTCCTCTCTATAACTCACTTTCCTTGTCGTAATGAGAGCTAAAATTTCGTACATATATGGAAAATTCGAAACTTTTCTTCAGCATATTCAACTGATTTCCTCCTGATGGTGCTAAAGTAAATTTCAAATACTAAATCTTGATCAGTAAGCAAGTGCATAGGCTATTTAGATGACACATCAGGACAGCCCCTCACTCCTTCCCACCACTTCCTACCCTCAAATTTGATTCCAGACCTCCAACCACATACTTCTTTAGGTCCACATATTTATCGTCAACCACAAGTATTGATTGCATCGATCATGCTCACGATATAATTCTCCAACACCATTTTATAACACTAACTTAAAAAATTTGCGAAACCAGACTTTCCCTTCCATCACATCCCTTTTGTGTTGCTGTTGTTACGAAGGAAAACCAAAATTATAAGAGTATTCGTTTTAAGGAACTGAAGTGACCCGAAGTTGCCAATATTTTAGTTATTTTTTACGTGAGCTGATTAAACACCACCGATTATCAGTAAAAGATTTAATTGTTGCGTGACATGAAATTTATCCAGAAATTACATTGTTTAAAAAAGCAATTACTGAGGAATGAAATATAACACAATGTATAATAACAAGCCTGAGCATGGCTAACCGAGTATATATATATATATTCTTCTCAGCCCAGTTACACTGGTTGGTAGTTGCACAGGATATCAATAACAACGATGGATTTTCTCCCCATCAGAAGCCTCGTACAGTCTTACCACAATTTTACCTGACATTTGATAAATACTACCGCATGACACAACCACTGGCTCATATTATCACGGCTGAGAGTAGGGTAACAACAGTACGTCGAGTAACCAAGATATACAAGGGAAACTGGGTTCTTATAATCATGATCACTAGACTTTTACCAAAACAAGAAGCTTGCATTAGATGTAATAATATGCGTCAAGTATATGCATCGGGAATGCAAAATTAACTTTCTTACGGGAGACTTCAAAGGGATAATGCCATATCGTGGAATAACAGAAATAATGAAAAGATTGGCTGCTATCACATACAATGTTCTAACGGAAATTTTTAACCATCATGGAATTTTCCTTTGAAGTTACGGTCAGATTCAGTGGAATTAAAAATTCTTTCAAAGCTTGTCAAACTTCAAAATAAAAAAGCATGGAAAACCTGGGATACGCTTTCCGACCAGATCACCCATAAGCTAAATATATCAGATCTACAGTTACTTCAAAACACACTTTCGTATATCACAAATAAAAAATTATTACAATACTGCGCGCATATATATTAAGACACTGCATGACACTCCCACTTATGGTAACGCTAACTGAGTAAAAACAATGTAACTCGTTTCCATTTCATATGATTCCACAGTGTGCGTTTGCCTTACGCAAATTTTGAAAAGAACACCGGATCCTAGTAAACATACAATAACATCAAACACGAAAAATAAATAATTAAAACTTTTAGATAACTCTAAATCGGACCTGCACAGTTTTTTAAATAATGATTTGGCACAATGAAAAATGTTACTAGTAAAGTCAAACTTGACAAACGAAATCACTCATGAAAGAACAATGAATAATAAAAAATACAAGGCAACTCTCTAGATGATGTAGTTAATGTAGCTGTCCGGATAAATGCAGTTTAAAAAGTATTCAAAAAAGAAAGTACCGAAATGCACAGATCCTATTACCTATTAGTCCTGTTAAACAAATGACTAGCCGGACTAGTCGTAATTTCATCCAAAATTCCACGGCTAGAATTTGAATGGTCCCTTCATTTCAATCCACAATTTAAATTAATTTTAATTAATTCAATCTGCCTGAAAATTTCAATCACATATGGACTTCTGAAATAAATTTTCAGCTGCAAGAAACATTAAACAGAAACATCACTGGTAAGTACGTATCGTCAATTATGAAACTGAGAAAGAATGGATTTTAAAAAAAAAAAAAAAACCTTTTTAAACACAAAAAAAAAATACTACAGACAATGCCCTACTAACAGAAATCTTTGGCACAGCAAACGGAGCAACGAGAAATATGTGGTGTAAAAAATCACAATATACAAATGCCCCGTAGCAGTAGCAGCAGTAATACATGCAATCACAGCTAATAATTATGACACATAATGGGGACCACCGGCTTTGAAGACAGAAACAAGGACAATTCTGAACTGGATACGTTTAATGCACACTTCTTATGCACCTGTACCAGTTAACGGATTCTTGAGCAAGAAAAAGATTTAAAGAGTTATCCGACAAAACTCAAACATATTCGTTTGCAATGTTGTGCCCTCTGTAATAGATCCATCTGGTCATATTCTGATGGTTTTCCTTGTTCTGAAGCGTTAAAAACAAGGTTAATAAAAATCTCTAACTGCTTACTACGGTGTGTTCCCCAGTACATAAACACATATTTCACGTAATCACATATGGTATTTATAAACTAACAAACCCATCGTAAGCAAACACGCCCATTACAATAGTTCGTATTTCATATTTGCATCATTCATCAAAACAACTACAAAAATTTTAATTAGTCTCTCAAAGTTATGGGATTATTATCAGGCAGTGAAATCCCACAATCGATTACGCTACACATCAATTAAATAAAAATAAAAATATTGCAACACCTGACAGGGCCAGTTTATATCTAGCGGAAGCGACTAGCTAATGGAATAACGAGTACATGCTATATATATATATATATATATATATTAATGTAGTATAAAAATACAGAAAAGCACCAAACGGAATGAGCAATTTGTTGAATGTAAAGCTACGGCAAGAATCGAACCAGTTTTACGAAGATAAACTGGAAGATATTAGAACCATCTTTCTTTTGAAGTTAATACTTCACTGCGTTGAATCAATTCCACTGGTATCCATATCCGGTGATGGTGAAGGTAACATCATATCCAACCAATCCATACCAATGTTCTGAAACTATAATCTGATACATTAGAGAACTGATCGAATGAAGCAATAAAACGACAAATACATCTTTAAGAAATGTATCCGCAATGCTGTGAAAGAAATCCGAAATCTTACCTGATCCACGATTTGGTTGTGACCAAAGGATACAATTAATGGATCATTTTGGTTTAAACTTGATGCCCGCTCATCTATATTATCCACTTTCTCATTATGAACATTCGGCTAAAATAAAAGTCTTTATCAGAAGTATAACATTATGAAAATTATTCACAACACCACTATTTTTCTCACAATGGGAATTCGAAGACATACTAATTTACATTTACAGTCAAAAGACCGACAAAAAATCAAAAAATCACACTGTTAACTATGTATTGCTCAGCAGATTGTGAACAAACCGATGTTGTTGGTATTGCACAGTCATGACGGAACCAATCATCACCTAACAGTGTTGCTAGCTCATCTGATCCATAAACTATTCCTGCACCAAAATCGAGATTGTCTGATTTCAAATCATTAGCACCTGCTAGAAAAAAAAAAATTAATTTACAAGTTATAAATAATCTCACTACTTTCAGATTTGAAAAAAAAATTAAAAAAGTACAGGAATGGACATCAGTTGAAAATCTCAACTCTATTATTGATGATATTTAAGTTGAAAACTGTAAACATCTTAATTCTTTTTCCTAGCTTATTCAGCATGCAAAAATCACTGCTTTAAAAAACAATTCGTCACAGAACAAATAATCAGGCGGAACCTTGGTCATCACGCAAAACATCCATTAGATCATCGAAGGCTTGGTTTTTCGAATACTGGAAAGTTTGCGACACATCAACAGCTCCTTCTTCGAATACTTCGACAAAATGATCATCGATTATACCATTCTGTTTCGTGCTGTAAGGTGTCGAAGTTGGCAGAGTTTTTGTCTGAAAAGAAACCAAAAAGAATAAAAAAGGTGTACTTCATTATTAACACAATTTCCCAAAAAAATAAACCGAAGGCCAACATCAACTGGATATCCTGCTTTATCTGTTCTTATGCAACTTTTCCTATCGATTTCCTTGACAACTCTCAATATAACAAGAACAAGAAATTTTTGATAAGCTTTAAAAATTATTGGACGAGAACTATGGTATTGCTGGTAAGTAATCTTACGACGTAAGGTTGTATAAGCTGGTCACAACTTGGCAAGGCGGTAGGATTGCTGCCACCATTGCTTTCATTTCGACAACTACCGCTTTCTTGTTGCCGAAGAGAGCTGTATGTCACTTTCTGGATTTGGAATTCTTCAGGAAAACAAGACGGCGAAGAAACCACGTTTGTTTTTGACCGTTTTTCAGCATCACTTTCCATCAAAGCTTTCGAGGCATTCTCTAACACCTGTTTGAAAATCTCCTCCATATCTACACTACCAGATATTTTCTCCTGTGAATCTGCATTATCAGTCCTTGCTCTGAAGGAAGAATAAAAAGGAATTATCAGACAACAGAACATTCTCACAAGCCGTCCCATTATAGTAGAACTTTTCTGGATCAGAAACATCTAACAATTACTTCCTTTTACAGAATTAAGATTTTTAAGAAAAAATAAAGTAAAATAAAAGCACGAATAAGTACAACCTGTCAGACACCTTTTTATGAAGGATTTCTTCCAAAATTAATAAGCCACTACACTTTATTGATGCTGTAAAAGCAAAGAATGTTTGAGGACTCGCCTGTTAACATTATTCTTTTTCCGACTTTTAGGTTTTGGATAAGGTGTGCCTGTTGGTACATAACGCTGTAGTTCATCTTCATTGATAACAATGACACTGGCTTTCTGCTGCGATGTATTTTGAATTGATTCTATTGCTATATCCGCCAAAGAACCACACTGATGTTGTGAAGTGCCGACTGTTACTGGTTCAAGGGTATTCGAATCTATTTTTACATTGTGTTGTACTTCCGTTTCACAACTCTGATCCTTACCGACTTGTGACGCTGCAGCCACCACAGCCTGAAAATCTTCAATACTAATAATATAAAGCAACATATATATGAATCGAATATGATAACATACAGTATTGCATCAGAAACATTATTTACCATTTAAAACTATCTACAGGAGGAAAATGGAAATAAAGAATGAGCAAAGATGCTCAAAAGAGAAGAAAAAAGAAAAAAAAAGGGAAGGAAGACGATGACCCGCATTATTTGCTTTAGCGCATAGTAAAGGACATTAATGCAGTTGTCGTAAAAGAAATTATAAAAAAAATAATAAAACACACATGACTTCTTTCAAGCTGATAACGCCTCAGTAATTGGACAATAAGAAGTGCAGTGCGTGCATCTTGCTTGATCAAACGTACGATATCTTGAACTGCTTGTTCAACATGCAGTTCTTCCTGCAGTTTCTCTTCTGTTGAAGCCAAATTTTGTTGTTCTGTTATTTGAGCCTGAAAATAATCTACATGAAAAAAACTGGCAGATCAACTTTATTTTAAGCTGAAAAGACAATAGAGAGAGAGAGAGTGACAGTCATCAAGAATGTATCATACTGTGCGAAATAAAGAACTTTGATTTCATGATGAGTTCGAACTTTTTTTCAAACTTCGTGTAAAGTTTAATCCAAGAAAGGAATCTACAGAAGCATAAAAGCAACTTACAAAAACATAAAAGCATCTTGTCGGAATAAGTTCGAGAACTAAAGTTCGAAAAGTCTGGTAGGAAACAAACTAGCCTGCATCTGCTGTTGCTGAAGTTTATGTTGCAAGAAAAGTTGTATGTGGAATTTATTCAGGTGTTTGATATCCAACTGATTGAGCCACATATCTGCTTCAGACTGCTGCTGATTTCCTTCTAATTTGGCGTCTTCTTGTCTTTTTGCTTGCTGAAAGCACTAATTCATATTAACAAAAAGAAAAGTTAAATGAAAGTTGCAATGCTACTTTAATAAACTTTCATCCACATACTGGTTAGTAATGCAGTAGGGGCTTGAAATATCCGATGACTAAAAGTTTGCTTCCTGACTATATCACAATCTTTCCTTCGATTTTGCAAATCTTCGGATAAAAGATAACGTTCTAGCTTTTTGTTATGGCTATTTTTATGCCTAATTAAAAATTCATATAATTCGTTACACGAAATTTTTAACCAGGAACCTGTGCTTTTTTAGCAGCAAGGATTACTTGCTGTTGATGCTTCAGCTGCTGCTGCGACCGATGCAGCTCCTTCTGTAATTCTTCAATTTTTCGTTGTTGAAATCGCAACATTTCTTCATGAATGGACAGTGTCGTTGCAGATAGCCTGTAAAAAAAGGTTCAGAAAATCATACGAAACAAGAATGCCGTGTGATAAAAACATCTCCATCTCAGTCTATATGGAATAAATCTATCTTTGCTAAATATTGTCACAATAAACTCAATGTTCTGGCAAATAAGTAACTGAAGAAAATCAAGAGCACTTTTGAATCTAATGAAACCACCTATAATTAGTGTAAAATAAGGGAAAATCAAAAAGCTTACAAGGCGGTTGTGTCACTTGGATCAACATGTGCAGGATACTTCTTCACGGTTACTTTTTCAGAATTATTTGGTGGCGATGGAATATCCGGTGAGCTACCACTGGCCGAATCCGCCATAATGGGAGAGCAGTGAGGCTGTGCAGATTGCAGCGGAGGACAGAGTGCATTTTGTGATACTGATATTCCATCCTGAATGTACTTTGAATTTCCTACTTTCAACAGAACATTTCAGCATCAATGTCAATCATATCTGCTTCAAAATGCAGTGGCATCATAATGCTACAATTAAAAACTATGTCACTGAATTTATGGAAATTTAGTAGACTACCAGCATCAAACAAACGCTTTAAACCACTATAACCGAATACCCTTCCCTCTTGACGATCTTCAGAACAACAAATGTTCTCTTCAAATAAAATTGCTGTCAGTGATTAATCAGGCACTCTTATTACGTACGTTATTCACTTTTTAAATTACTTTTCCGAGAGCAATTCCTTCAAAATCACCGATATAAAAGCACAGCGAGTAACAGTTTCTCACTATAATTTAACAATATTTATACTCAAAATATTTCCTTTCTCTCTTAGTTTGTAGTAAAAGCAGAGAGACAGAGAGGAAGAGAGAAACTCGTTGAGATATAATTTCAACTAAATATATTGCCATTTTTTTGAATACACCCCTTTTCAAGAGTAAATCCCTAAAGCAATGACTGCTATAACATTCGAAAAAGTGACTAGTGTTTGACTAATTTTCCTTAAGATTTCCAAAACATTTTCTCAAAGATTTTTATTTGCTTTATTCTGCTCAATAGAAATGAATAAAAAAGAGCTTATGGTGCACTACATTCAATGAAATCTTTGCAATAAATGGAAAAAACAATGATAGACTATTCCCAGCTTTTATTTACTAAAATTAAGACGGTGTGCGTTGGACATATATCCTTGAAAATCTCGGAAAATATTTCCCGGGTTGTTTGAACATTGTTCATTTTCTGCTAGTCTCACATCACAATGAAAATATTCAGGTACTCTTTTGAATACAATATACATAAACACTATTTTCATATCACACCACACAACAACATTCACCTTCCATAAATAGCAGTTACCTTTAAATTGTGTCGCGTAATATTATTACATATAAGGAATTGGTTATGACAGTTTTGTTGCTTTACAGTAGGACGTGTAATTGATGCAGTTCCAGCATGCTGAATCTGTGCTTGCGTCTGCTGTTGATTGCTATGTGTTGGTGTTCCAGTCACCTGATGTGATACGCCTGTTAATCGGTGATCCGAAGTAGTAGATCCAGACAGACGACAACTAAGAACTGGATTTCCTGGCAGTGTGCTTTCTATCAGCTGAGTTTGCTGCTGTTGTTGTCCAGTTTGCATGACGTGAGGAGAAGCTTGTTGTTGCAGCTGTTCAACAGAAGACGTTCGCACCAACGTGAACTGAAAATAACAGCCTTGCAAACAAAGATGAAAAATATGCAATGAAATATGGTGCCAGTATGGAAATTTCAATGCGACAGAAACCCTTTCCCATCATTCCATCCCTCAAATATATTATCTAAAAAACTTTTTCATTTAAAAAATTTCTCATTCTAAAGAAAACTGCTTTTAAAAGATTTTTGCCAAAAACACATTTAACGCACTTGTCCACCTGAACCAAGCTGTGCAAAACTAAAAGTAGGTTCTGTTTGCACTTGTTGCACCATATTTTGTGATAGTTCTGTAGTGGTTGAGAGTAGCTGTTGTGATCGAATACTGCTGGTAGATTGGATAGTACCGTTTAGGGTGATATTATTCGTGAGCGGATATTCGGATGACATACAACAACACTGCACACTGTGCGGTACTGTTGCTGTTGCAACAACAGAGCCATTGGCATCCACAAGCTGAAACAGAAGATGTCAGTAGTATTTCGAAAGCAGTCTCGAAGGCAACGACCTAACCAATCGTTCACATCGAACAGTAACTCACGATTAAATCATCATGAATACGAATTGCCTGCGTTGCACACCTTCTAAGAATAACATACGTATTACCAATCGTGCATTACCTAAGAGTCTGATGGTATTTGCAGCTGTCAAACTTTTTCCACTGACAATTACCTTGGATAAAGTAAAAGCAACAACAGTATTTGTCTGAATAAAGTTTTCAGCAGATATCCTATCATGCACTATCACAATTCCTACACCACGACAGAAGTGATTTTATCAAGTTCTATCTGAAATAGGTAATAGGGAAAAATACATGTAAAACTTGGTGCTGTTGTTGTGCTGGAGGCAATTGTACGGCAAGAGAGTGCTGCTGCGCTGATTGAGTCCGCTGTACCAAAGGTGAAATAGAATGTTTGTAAGCATAATCACTGATAACATTACTGATAGGAGGTAACCGATTCGACTGTACTGCAACATCAGGAGCTGGAGACGAGATGGAAATCAAGTCGGATGATGAATCCATTAACGTAACTCCACTACAGTGATTCAAAATCGATTCCTCGTATGGTCTTAATCGTTCCAGTAGTTGTGGCTTTGCACCGGAAACGGGCAACTGACGCTTTTTGCATTCATTTTTGAGATCTTGCACTCGATAGTCTGCAAGGCGGGTTCTTGGCTTTTCATTATCACTCATAAAATTAACGGTTCCAGATGAAATCCCTGAATAACTGTAATTAGCACTGGAACACTGACAACACTGCTGATTTTCTAGCATTTGCTCAGATATTACAGACTGCACTCCATTGTGAACACAATCCGTATCAACTAACGAACTTTGAGTAGATGCTGTCACGCAGGGTGATGTTGCGCTCGATGTAGCACATTCCTCTGGACAATGCTGTCCTTCCTCTTCCTAGAACTCATTTCTTCACGAATCTGGTTATTGGCACTTTTCAAATTTGAACGAAAAAAATCGTACCATACAACAGTTAAAATCAGTTTGTTCATGTAGCATGAGTATCTTATAACTTATGTTGTGCAAAGCTGTTCCTTACCCTATATTATTAGATGCATTTGCTAAACGTTTTAAAAGTCAAACAATGTAAAACTTTTAGGAGTACCTGTGAGGTGCCGAGGGCTCGGGACTCTTCAACCTCACGCTGCCATTGTAAGAACAACTGTTGCTGCTGAAGTAAAAGATCGTAGCTACTCTGCATTTCACGCGTATCCTCATTCTTCAAAAGAAAAACATATCAGCCTGTTCAGGACAAGGATATTTATTAGTGGAGGTGCATTTCGATCAATGTTCTCCACTGCTAAATGTAGTTCCAAGGATAAACATAAGAAACCTGAATAACTCTTTGATTCTTTCATGCCCAAATAGAGAGAAATAAAAAATTTTTCAAATCCAGTTTAAGGGAAAATCCTCTCTAAACTCTGCGACATTTATGCCATATATTAACTGTGTCGGCCCAGTACTGGATTTAATGTAATTTTCATCTTTAATAAGCAATATAATCTGAGCACACCACCAAATCTCGATCCACAATTTTTTTTTTCTTTTTTATAACAAGAAATTCGTGAAAAAAGATGAATAACTGTTCACTAACATTAAATAATGAAGCATTATCGCTAACGTAAGATACACCATGAGCCACCAATGCATCATTTATAGTTTCCGCATCCTGAACAAATGGCAACTAATTAAAAGTCATCGTAACTAATGTTTACGACTCTTTCAAACATGAATTCTTTAATCTGTTACAGTTCAATTTCTTTCTAAAGAAATGTAATCTGCTCACATGCAACTCATACTAATTTAGCTATGTAAAAACGCCTTAAAATATACTGTTGTATTATACACGTAATGAGCCACATCTTTAACCACCAATTTGTTTATAAATTTCACCAGCAATAATTAATAACAAGCATACTTGATAATCTGTAGAAGCAGAATCTTGCAATTTTAACTTTGATCGAGTATTCGGTGATGGTAATGTTTGGTCATATGGTGTTCGATACTGCGAACTTTTTTTACGAACTTTTGATTTGGCCAAACAAACATTTGGTAGTTTTCTTTGATAAGCACAAGCTGGTGCCGCGGATATTACCTCCATCTCTATTCAATTATTATTATTATTTAGTGACTACAAAACACATCCGAATAAAAAAACTTTAATGAACGAAATCAAATTAAATGCTTATTAATAAGCTATCTTTGCATACTCCAGACAAGAATGCGATTAAGAAACTTCTCCAAAAATTAAATGATAAAATTACCCGATTGCTTCTCTTCGTTCTCAACCTCTTTTCTTTGGGTAGTTTTAGTGAACAATAAGCGGCCCTCTAAAAAGAAAGAAAAAAGACTTTGAAAAAAAACATTCAAATAATCAAAACAAAGTTTGCCATGTTTGGCTGAAAGCAATACGATGGTTTTTCAGTATAATCATTCTATAAGTTTCACCACGTTTTTAAAAACTTTCAAGCTTTCCAAGCATAGAAAGAAACTAGTGTTACAGTTTGAACAGCGCAACCATCTACAGATAAGATCCAAAGTCAGCCTTAAAAAAAAAAAAACCTTGTATTGCTTGCTCCAGCTCCGCATCAGCTTGTAAAATTTTCTTGGTAATCAGCTCGAGTGGACCAGGTCGATGTTGCAATTTTTTATTCAAATCGTCTTTCAGCTTACAGCGTTTCAGCTCCTCGGCCTTCCGCTGAATAGATGGATCCGCATTAGACGCTATAATACAGCATTTAATTGCTATAATTTAATTTTTATTTTTCCTGAAAAGTAAGATTTTAATATGCAACAATAACAACTCAGCTAAAATGTTTCATTCATTTCACTAATCTTGAAAGAAAACTGCATAAAAACTGTTACCCCACTAAAATCCATAATAAAGTGAAAAAAAAAAAAAACAATAAGTACTAATTCTGATCTTGGTGATGAATATATGAAATAATCTGATAGAATCCACCAATAGACCTTTGGAATTAGACTACAGCTAAAAGTTGGAAGTTACGAACAAAAAAATTCACAAAAAAATTTTAAATATATTTTCACTGGAGAATTCGAGTACAACTAAAAATTCCGTTTTCTTCACCGGTCTAACCAGGAGTGAAATTAAAGTTCTAGAAAGAATTGAAGGTTTTCAGTTTTGTCCTTTTCATAGAAAAAATGAAAAATGGACAAAACTAAATCAAAACTACTTAAGTAAGCACTTTTCTCTCAAACGTTTACGATAAAGAGTAAAGAGGAGAAAACTTGTCTAGTTATTAAAGGATATATGACATATCGATTAATAACAAGCAGATATAAAGTGCAAAAAGAAAAAAAAAAAAAAACGGAAAATAAGATTCGTAAATCTAAAACTTGCAATAAACAATACAACAATGCATTTAAATCAAATTCTCATATGTGTCACTTTCCATAATTTAACAACGCAAGAAGTTATTTGAATAATCTGTAATCAAATTCAAGGTAACAGCGGTATTTTTGTATAGCCTAAACAAGTTTGAATCAAAGATGAAAATTACCAGTAAGTAAGATGTGCTGCGTGACAAGCTTCTGTTTGGAGGGGCGCTGTTCGATTTTCCGTTTCAAAGCGTCACGTTCTTTTGATCGCAGAACACTCTTTCGCCTATCGCCTCCGTCCGCTGAAACATAAAAACTTGAAATATTGTTAATTTGTTCAGAAACGCAAAATCGATAATTGTTTACTTGTGAAAACATGAGTGGTGAGAAGTGATCGCTTTCGAAAATCTATACGTTAATCAGCACAAGGTGAGGGATGAATTCCGCTTAGTCAATTGCTTTGTGGAAAATAGTTTGAGACAATTTTCGGATTCGAAAGAAGGACAAAACAGCTTCACGACATTTTTGCATTAACGTATCGATTTTCAAAAGCGAGATTCCTACCACATATATTAACAATATGAACTGTAGGACACAATACGAAACTACGAAAATCTTTCGTTACAACGATCTTACTCTGGCACCAGTAAAAAGACACAGGTGCAATCAAGACATATAAATAAGAGATGAATATTATCTCAATTTCGAAGTTAAACTGATCAAATTATATACTCCACAGGTTAGATATTTGGGATATTTAATTATGAAAGAACTCTTATTATCATCACGCAAGAAAAAAAGAAAACAAGTTATTAAGTTATCTTCCAAACAAGTGCAAACAAGTTAAACAAGTTATCTTGCACCATTCAGATCTACTTCACTAAACGTTCCACTTTAATCAAAAGTTTGCAAATATTAATTAAGTGAGAAGTAAGATAGGTCACTGAAACAGCTGGGAAGATTCACTTCTATGTTTCTATAAAGTTCGACACATTCGAAACAAAAGAGAATGAAATACATGACTTTTTTTTTGTTACGAAAACAGATCAAATCAGAACATGGTATGGCATATATCCCCTATTTTCTAATATCACTTCTCAATAATCAAATTATCTCAAATAGATTCGGATTTCGTAACAAGGTAGAAAAAAAAAACAAGTATCTGTCGATCTATATTGATGACAGCGAAATGAACCGTATAATAGAAACGAAAAAGGATGTATTAGAGAATGCCGAATCTCCCTGCTGAACTGAAATCAAGAAAAACAAAATCTTTTTGGCAATCAAAAACCTATTCAATACCGACGACTATTTCTTCCTTCTTCTCTCTTCCAGGAGTGGAAGGAGAGAGAGAAGGAGAGAGCTGAATAGAAAAAGAGAAGAGGTGGTGGTGCTCTTTGGGTAATTAAACGACAGCTTTTAGTAGGCAAAAAAGAAAAGCTAAAAATGCTACACTGTCAGAAGCGGTTAGGCTAGCCTTCTTTTGGAGAAGTTAAGCAAGAATTTTTCGGAAATTGATTCGGAAACTTAAATTCCAATTGTTACAATCTAAAAATCTGTCCAGAATTCATTAATGCTCAATAAGACCAATGATTTCTCATCACCGCTTCCATTTGATAGCATGTATGTGAATATTTGAGGAACAAATTATTTACGTGTAAGAAAAAAATTGAGTAACTGAATAATGATTTCTAATAGGCAAGAAGAAAAACCCTGAAAATGCTACTTTTTCATTAGATGCAGCTAACTTTTCTTTTTAGAAGACTTAAAACAATTTTTTTGAGAAAAAAAAATCAAACAAAAATAAAACAATCATATTATTTCTCACGTATAAATATAAAATTCACTATAGCATAAGTATTTTACTTAAGTGAACCCAGATCTTTAAGAGATTTCTCAACCTATGATGATTCTAGCAACGACAATAATTTATCACGAGAAATATCAGATGCTAAGACACACTAAAACTATTACTAAAGCTGTAATTATAACGAATCAAACAGAGAAAGTGAGAAATTTAAAAGAAATTATTACTCACCAAAACAACGAAAGAAAACACATTTTAATTTACGATGAAATTATATACGCCAACATATTCAAGAAAAAAGGTGAAATTATAATCATCAGAAAATATGAATGAAAACTCCAGCCCGTTCTTTCTGAACCTATCAAATTACAATGCAACCAACAGTCATCTTTATGTACTTCTCTGTTTTCTTTAATAAAGAAATTGTAAAATATGGAAAAACAAGTAATGGATCGGTGTCATCCTTTCAAATCGATTGCTTCTAACAGTGAAATAGAACTGTTCAGATATGCAATATCAAATAATCAAAAAAAAAAAAAAACAGCAAATAAAAACAAGTGCATTCTTCATAACAGGAACCCATGTTATACTCACAGATTAACTGATTTGTTCTTGTACAAAAAAACAAGAAATTTTTGGGAAATGAAGTCCCGTTAGCTTCTAAAAATGACTACATAAAGTTAGTGATTATACTAGGAAAGATTTAATCGATCAACTAATAAATGGAACTTTTATATCATTGTAATCTCTTACATAAAAAAAAAAACGAATACGTTGCTATTTCCTAACAACAGTAACTTGTATAAACAGTTCACAAATTCTACATGGAATCTACCTAAAGGTGATAAAATACGCATTTGCTCCTATTCTTTTCGTTAGAAATAAAACCAAAACAAGATAGAAATTTATCACAGAATGTCAAAGCCAGCGCTTTGACATTCTGTGATAAATTTTCGCACAGACATGCTTCTGTCTCGATGATATGCGTACCTGACATAACACATGCCAATGGATCGTCTTACAAATAACGCGCAGGGGAAACAGAATGATGTTTTACAAAAACTAGATGAGAATTGGAGTACGGAATCGAAATCAATGAAATACAGTGTACTATCCGATAAATGAATTGCAATTGGCTTCTTCATATCCAATAAATACACCATTATTAATAACAGCAATATCCACTCTCACACACTCAACTGTTCCCTAATTTATTAAACCTTACCGATCTATGTAGATCAGTTTCATAATATAAAGGCTCACCACAGATTTTCACGTCACTTAAACTACTTTACTTTAATTTTCTATCTGATATTAGTCACCAATTTCGTTGTAATCTTCCGTCATCCTAATCACTCTTTTTCTACAGTAATTTGTATCAAAAATTATACTTACTGACCTCACCAAGAACTAGATACTACTGAACAGTTCGTATTTTTACGTCCAGTAACAAAACAAACGTATTACTACTCAGTATCGCAAACGCTTTTTTATAACCAGGAAACACATACGACCATTAGTACTACCACTTATCACTATTACCATCACTCTCCACTATCGGTCACTACTATTACTCTATATCCACTGTAATTAAAGATGAAACCAGCAGAAAGATGTAAAACAAAAATCTAATTAATTGGATGAAATGTAGAAAACAGAAAAAAAAAATTAAAAAAAATAGAAAAGCAAGAGAAAAAAAAAATCAAAAAAAAAAAATCAGTGATAGCACACAACTGTAAGAAACGAGTCAGTTGTGAAATATGGCTTCATTAATCATAGCACTGAAGCAGAACCGATTTATGGCTAACGGAAACCGAAGGATTTTCTCATCCGCCTCTTATAACACTTTTCATCGTTCATAACGATAAAAAATGATCTTACTTGATGGAGCATAAGCGAATGTTTTCTAAGCGACGTTCTCATAACTTTATATTATCCAACTTCACTGCTTGCATCTATGTGTGCTTTTGCCACAAAGCAAAATCAAGGAACATATGGTGAAAATGCAAAACTAAGGAAATTGCCACTCTTTCCTTTTCAAATCTTACATATTCAGTTCCAGGAATGGCACGATATCAGTAAATTCGAAGAGGTTACACTCGACAAAAAAGTTATACAACATTAATCCTTCTTTGAAATTCTCACATCGCATAACAGCCAATCTAATTGTTTTCAAATTCTTATTTCCATACTAGTATATTCTCTCAGTTCTAAAAAAATCCTGAAAAATCAGAAGAGCAACAAGATTCGTTACAAACTAATAACTATGAATTTTATGCATCTCCGCTGTTGCAGTCTTGAACAGTAATCAGAACAGCAAACTACTAGCTGGTTTAATACCTCTAACAGAATAACAATAATGATACGAATCCATATCACAATATTTACCATTTTCCATTAATAAAATTAATTTACTCTTTCATGTCAACCCGAAGATTTTATTTTAAAGTTAGTGATTACGCTCATGAATAATCCGAACACGATTGCTCCCCGAAACTGCAAAAAAAAAAGGAAAAAGAATCGTAAAAATTGAAAAAACCATTGCATTCTTCTATACTTGGTCAAAAAATGGTTATGTCGATCCACCATGAAATATTTACTTATAGATTAGAATTAAACTGGCAGTAGAAATAACTGTTTTCCCAAGCTTCAGTTAAAACCGAAAGGATGTTGTTGAAGAGTGAAGTTAAAACCAATCATTCGTGCCGTTTACAATGAAGGTACAAATTACTTAATTTGTGGAACTCAATAATGGAGCTAAATTTTGCGCAGAAATAAGTATAGCCAGTAAAGAAATGAAGTAAATTCAAAGAATATGTTAAGATTTTGTTTAGTAATATAATATCATCACTAATAAATGTATTGCGACAAATAAATGCACGATCCTTACTGTCCCATACATTTTATGGATTCACTGGTTTTATTATTTGTAATAATATTTGAAGTGAAAAAAAAAAGAAATCGAAATATCATTAAAGATAATGCTGCCAAATTCATTGAGCCTCTGTTTCCCTAATTCATTAAGCAATTAAAGATTTTAACAAATGCGATGAATTTCTGGAAGTATATGGAGACTAAATTACCCGAGAAATGAAGAAACTTAAATATCAGAACATATAAATGGGATACAGCCAAAGAACACATGTTAACGCTGTCTTGGATAGTGAAGCGAAAAATCAGTCCGGACATGCGAGCGTAGTATTGAGCGTAGTATGGTTCTCAAAGCTTTTCAAGAAGACAAAATTTTAGATTTTTTGTACAGAGTGCAAATCGTCACATATGTGCATAAGCGTGCTTCGTGACCATGAAATGCGGTTTTCTTTATTCCACCCTCTACCCCTCTCTTCCTCTCCATTTTTTTAAATTCCTCAAAAATAAACATTTTTTATTTCGCTTATTGCTACCGTACTGCAAAAAAAAAAAAAAAAAAAAAAAGAAAGAAAAAAAGAAATCGATTACAAAAGCTTACTATAGATTGAAATATGGATGGAATGCTTTTATTTCTTTACACAATCTTATATTCCTTTCTCATTTAACTTTCTCTACTTGCCCTCTATATTGCGCACAGATTTTCTTTCGGTTATTCAGTTCCCTCCGAAAAAGTGCAGAAAATTACCTCGCGATATATGCATGCATTGTGTTGTAGTCGAATATTATTTAAGAGTTTTAATTTTAGATAGGACTACCGGAAAGAATCCGAGAATCAAGGAAATATTATGACGAAAACAATGGACCAGAGAGCCAGATTATGAAAAGGAAATTCAACAGGTTAACTTACCCTACTGGATAAAATTTGTAATAAGGGACTAACATCAGCCAGAAACACATTGATCACAGGGGGATCTTCCTAATATTTTAAACAATGATAAAAAAAACATAAATAATGAACTGATGAATTCAATGTAAGCAGATAAGTATCGTAATGGAAAAACAAAAAAAAAAAAATGGAACAGTAGATTTGTAATAAAACGAATTGATGTAGCAAATGTTTTGTTTGTTGAACTGAAAGAAAAGCGACCGTAGAGCGGTGACAACGGACAAGAGGAATGATGACGGCAACAGAATGATATTTTATCTCAACTCAACTCATTCCCACATCTTCCGCCACTTAGCTATTCGTGAATGGAAACGATATTAGAGGTATGTGCACAGGGAGAATGCAGTAGAAGACACATACACACGAGCACACAACGAAACGACCAACTACTTGGTAAACAGGAGCAGTTGCTCGAGCTCAATCATTTCGTCTTTCATCTCCAGCTCCATCCTTGCTTCTGTGTTTATTTGTTAACAACCCTAACGTAAAACTCCATCCACGTCGATCAACAACAGTACATCCTCACAACAGATGAAACCATACCATACCGTACGTAACATGAGCCAAATTAAACTTCCATTCACAAATTCAAAATCTTGATACCTAGCTCTGTGTACCACTTCTAGTTGTTACTTTTATTACCAATTATTATCTACTTTAAGATGTTGTTAAAGGAATATGGTAAAGGTGAACAGAATTTCAGTTCTTTTGAAAATAAATCGATGTCAGTATTAACCCAGCTAGTAGTATACGAAATAAATAGATTAAAATAAAAAGAAAAGATGGAAACTAGCGGAAAAACAATAACAAAACAAAAGTTTACTGATGGCGTGCAATGGAAATGAATGCTTTTCCAATGTTCTAAATTGTGCCATTATTCAATTTGTTACACAAAGATGCAGCTGAGATGGGGTATAGCTGAAGGTCAACTATCGTAAAGCTGATCATCAACCCCCAGTGCGACAATTTTTAAATAATACTGGCGAAACGATAGAATCAGTGCTATTCAACAACTACAAAACAACTTTATATCACTTCGCAAAAAATCATACGGCTGCTCATATTCCGGATGCAATTAGTGATAAGATAAAGTTCATAACCAATGCTTAGAATTTAAAGTCAAATGGATGCTCGGACGAAGTTCAAATGCGAAATGACATAAATCATCAAAACAACAAAGATGAAGAAAAAGAGTGGATTCGCAAAACTTTTTCGAAAACTTATTACTTGCCGTTAAGTCTCATATTGCTTAAAAAAAAAAAAAGATAAATTTGCCAGAAACAAACAAAGCTACACGAAAAGAAATCTGAAAAAAATGTTCGAGCTTGACTCTCGAGAGCTTATATTATCCCAGGAACCGGGAAAGTGAAGTTACTCTCTTGTACAATTTCAGGTACTCAGATTAATTCATGAATAAATGAGAATTTCCTATCGATCACTGAGTAAAACGTTCTACTGTAACTTCGTATGTATAAGTTAGTAGCTTCTTTCGAGTTAACCATATTCGGTCAACTTTTATATCTTTGCTCATCAAACCCAGATAAGATGCGGAAAGCCCAATTCCAGAAATGGGTCATATTCCAGGCTTTAAAAGTAAAGGCTTGTTTGTCCGAAAGCATGCGCATGCTCAATTATTACAAAATGCTTAAAAGAAAGCGGTAGAAATAATAAAATTTTTTCTAAAGTATACAAGTGGAATTTGAAAAGGATGCTATGAGAAAGAATTTTACATTACGACTGATAAGCTGAAATCTGATAAATTTTTAGAAAATGCACCAGCTCATTACAACGAAAAAAATGCGCAACAACTGTCGTCCGTTGTGTGGGGTCCACACTGCCACAAAATGATTCATTCAAATTATCTGAAATAAACAAATGAATCCAATCATGCTTGCAATCCCTCTAACTCCCGCAACGGATTAAACAGCAGCAGTACCCTTTAGGAAAACATCGTATTTTCCAATGAATCATATAGGTATGCACACATCACACATGAAGCAGTGCCTCCACTTACGTCACAACACTCATTCTTCTGATCGCATTTCACACTATTAGCTCGACCCTCATTTCCTGTTGACGACATGAAAGTATTAATCTTTAGGCAAAATAATCATACATATAGGCAACCGGAAGTCTCATATTTTACTAAATCATGAAACAATAACTATCAATTCAAAGACCGGAAGTTTAAGCTACCCTTTTAATTTTCAAAAAAAAAAACACACAAAAAAATAAAAAAATTAAATATCTATTAAACTACTACCAACATTCTTCATCATAATGTAGCTGTTTACTGCTACTTAATACTTGGAAATGATGATAAACAATAAGCATTTTTCAACACAG